GGGTCCATGCAGTGTATCAAATCTTCTGAGAAGGCCTTCGGCCTTCACAGGATTTGATCACGTGACCGACCCACTTCAATTCCCATTGAAGTTTATAAACTTGTTATTTATTTCTTAAATAAGCACTGATTTTGTCTTATATGAAAAGTACGGGAAAAGTAATGATACACATGTATTGAGCTATCCATTATTATGATGTCATTGTGACGTCATAGATGAGTAAATTTGCATTGGTATAAAAATTGCTTTGAAACTGTAATGGTTAGGGCCGTGGATATCGGCCTGGATAGCTCAGTAGGTAGAGCACCTGACTAGAGATACAGGGGTCCCGGGTTCGATTCCCGGTCCAGCCATGCATTTTCTCCTTTCCTGTCACAGATTTGGTGCCGTGCCATGCCCTGGAATTGACAGGTGATAGACCTGCCAGGGATGAGCCTGGGTTGGGGTCTTTGGAGGGCCAAAGACCTTTAAGGAGGGAGGAATGTAATGGTTAGGGCCGTGGATATCGGCCTGGATAGCTCAGTAGGTAGAGCACCTGACTAGAGATACAGGGGTCCCGGGTTCGATTCCCGGTCCAGCCATGCATTTTCTCCTTTCCTGTCACAAAACAAATGATTCTATATAGGATTATAAAGGCTTATAACTTTCTTATTCATAGACCAAATTTCATGAATGATACATCAATGGACAGGAAATAATCAGTTCTTTTTTATTTTACTACTTTCGGGGTATTTGTTAACTTCATTTTTTGGTTATTTCTGGAGAAACTATGAATTAGAGGGTGAAAAGTGGTCATATTTTGTGCGGAAATGCATTAATTTTTTAAAATAAGTGAAATTGACCCAATTAAGTGCTTGATTATGATTTGACTATATGTATTTAAAGTTATGAAGTTGATTAAGAATGGTATAAATGTGTTAATAGGCTAAAATTTAAGGTAATACTTGGGTGCCGTTTTGGCTAGATTGGAGCATTTTTTAAGGATATTACACATAGAACTGTAAATGCTGTAAAATCTTAATTAATTGTTGAATTTTCATGAAACTTGGCATGATGTCTCTACTTATGCTCTAGATTGACAAACTGTGTGAAATATTGTAAAATCAAAAAAATGCTTTTTCATATTGGGTACATCCCACTAATTATTTTTAGAATTGGTAGGAGAAGAAAGTAGTGCAGAAAAAATTACAAGTTCCATAATTTGCAGACTTGCATAAAAAAAATTGGGCAGATGTACTGAATTGAGCCTCACACTTGTTGATAAGGAGTATCTTTCCTACCAAAAAAGCTTGGAAAATGTAATTTATCAAGAAGATCAGCTGAATTATTTTGTGTATTATAACGCCAGTGATAATTCTGAAATTCCCCTACTTTCACTTTCATTTTTAGAGGTCCCCGCAGACAGACGCATTTTGCCGGAAAACGAATCTGACATGCCACCTCGAGATTTTAACCAAGGAAAGACAAGTTGATGTGCTTTGATTTGAGGGGTCACTCACTTCTGAACGAAAATTAGGGACATCGCTATGAGAAGAAACGTTGACATTGTCGCCTATGGGAAAACAATAAGTGGACTGTACCCATATGCTACATTTATGTTTTGACATATACCTTTGGGACCATCAACTTTCCTTATACTATTGCAGCAGTATACCCTTATCATTATCATCATACGAAGTTTATATCTCACGGTGGATTCCATACTCAAGAAAATGTTCTACGAATGAACAATTTCTAAATCGAGTTTTATATTAGTTTTTGTTGCAATATCTTCCTGCTTCTGATTTGCTGTGCAACAAATATACTACATTGGCGTCGGAAGCTAATTGAAAGTGGGGGGGGGGGGGGGGCTAAGTGTAATAAAATTTCTTTTTTTACCTTCAAAAAAAAACCTGACAAGCAAAAAAAAAAAAAAAAAAAAAAAGGAAATGTCCGTTTCCCAGACGCGAAAATCCTATTTTTCGTGGGGGGGGGGGGGGGGGGGTTAGGTTCAAACTTTAGTACCTAAGTTTTTCTCCAAACACCAAACCAAAACTTTACCCATTTTTAGCCTATACTGCGAAGTGTCTGTGGAAAGTGGGGGGGCTAAACCTACGAAACAAGGTTCTATGTCTATAGTATGTATATTTTTGGGAAAAAAGTGGGGGGGGGGGGCTAAGCCCCCACTAGCCCCCCCGGTTCCGACGCCTATGTACTAGTAGCATCCGCATCATAATTGACGACATTGAAGCGTGAATTTATATCTAGAGCTAAAGTATCATACCGTTTAAGTGGAAATTTAAAAGTGGGTATTAATAGTCCATGTAACATAACAATGGTCATTATTTACAAAAATGCTGATATTAATGAATATATACGTTCAGATTTTAAAGTCTTAAGCTCAGTGAAGCCTTTCTTAAACAGAGAACGGGGAACAAATATTTAGATACAATGACCTTGTCAGAAAATACAATTTATTATTGTCAAATGCTGACTGACGTTTCTCAGACTAATTGTAAGTCCATTATTTATATATTGAATTGAAGACGGATTTTTCCGTAATTTTGCGGTGATGACTACATGTAGGAGCATAGGGCGGGAGTGACCTGTCGGCAGGAGATGCTCACTCCTCCATGGCACCTGATCCCACCTCTGAGGTTTTGGAGGTCCGTGTTTAATCTGCTCATGTTTTGTACTGTTTTATATATTATTGATCTTGAATACTGTCTGTTATCTCCATATGCTACATTTATGTTTTGACATATACCTTTGGGATCATCAACTTTCCTTATACTATTGCAGCAATATACTCTTATCATCATACGAAGTTTATATCTCACTGTTGATTCCATACGCAAGAAAATGCTCTACGAATGAACAATTTCTAAATCGAGTTTTATATTAGTTTTTGTTGCAATATCTTCCTGCTTCTGATTTGCTGTGCAAAAAATATAGCATCTGCATCATATGTGACGACATTGAAGCGTGGATTTGTATCTATAGCTCAATTATCATACCGTATAAGTGGAAATTTAAAAGTGGGTATTAATAGTCCATAACATAACAATGGTCACTATTTACAAAAAATGCTGATATTAATGAATATATATATACGTTCAGATTTTAAAGTCTTAAGCTCAGTGAAGCCTTTCTTAAACAGAGAAAGGGAGACAAATATTTACATATTAATTATAACCTGTTTTTCAATTTAAAAAAAAAGAATATTAAAATTTGCAAACATTCGATCATGACCAATTGATTTTTTGTAAGAATCTTTCGAGTCCATACTGGAACGTCCATCTATTATACGTCTAAGTCTCCAACGTTTTTATTGAAGTGTATCTTCTGTAAAGTATAGAATACACTCATTCAGCTTACACTCATTTGCAACTGCAAAACTGCTTCAAACACACAATACGCAGACTATGAAATTAATTAAAGTCCTCAAAGGACTAAAAGGCGTGTCGGTAATATTTTAATTATCAAAATGTACTGTTTTGTTACTTCTCTTACGCAAGTTTCTTTCTATTTTGTAATAAAGATATTCCTGTTTTAATATCCCAAACGTAAAACAGAAAAAGTCTCAAAATGAATATCACGATCCTACCTTGGCTCGAATAGGTTAGGAATTATGCTCTTTAATACCGAAGATGCTTCAAACTGTTATAAAGGTTTTTCTACTACATGTAAAATATATTAACATAAGTTTATTGAAAATGTCCACTAAAATCTGTTTGTAAATGTGCCCTTATATTTGACAGTAAAATATCCTATATTGATTGAATTATCAAACACATTAGACCTTAATTTCTCTGTTCTTAGAAACAACTTTCATTTTAACTTTCATATTTTTATATCAAAGTTTCCATTTAAACGAATTTCATCATACTGGAATAATACCTCCTACTAGTACTTTGTAAATTATTTGCATGACTACCCTTTTTGATTGCAGAGAAGGAAAGGCTTCGATGTCATCTTGGTATTAAGTTTTTTTTTAAAGAATTTAATTGTTATTTTTTTCCCCGTGAATTTGCATATTAGGTAAAAAAAAATGTTTGAACAATCTGATGGATCTTTTATGAGTCTTATTGGCTTACACATTTTTGATTGGAAATAGTTATTACTCCTATGAACAGAAAAACAAGGCAAATGTAGATTAATTAACTGCACCTAACATTTTCCTGAATTAGCCTACGGCTCAAGCTCCACGAACACAAATCTTATTCTGATAAATGCAACTTTATTTTGAATTTATCTTCTGTGATTAAATGTTTGGTTGAAATTCTTCTAAAATGTTTATGAAATATTATATGCACTTTAAAAATCAATGCGGTAGATATGGAATTCAAGTATACTTCACTTTAGAAAACTGTTGTTTTCTTCTACATTTCATCGCACAGGTTCTGAAATGATTTTAGATAAATATTGCTAATTTAGGGTTAAAATTCTAGCACCGTTAAATATGATAAAAAACACAAGTTCACTGTACTTAAAATAGGATCTTCTATGATTTGCGGGTGGATATGTTTTTCTGAAATTTTGTTTGTTTGCCTTCTATTCATGATTGTCATCTGATTTTTTATTGAATTTATTTATCTACTGACCAAACTTTTGCCAAGCAAGTTATAAAAAGGGATTTATTTAGCTTTATATTTCAAACTGTATAAAATCAATATATTGAAACAAAGAAGATTATGGAATTTCAAAAAGTCCCGGAAATGAAATGTCTACTTCATTTTCGAAGAATCAATATTCAAAACACTATTACTATTGGATTTATTTTTTAATAGCCATCTCTTAATTTTTTTTAGTAGGTATTGATTAGAAAAATATTTCACACATTTCGATATCATACTAGAATGTTGATATCTCTTTTGGGACTAATTATTTTTTACCTATTGGATATCAAAATTGGAATATCTTTAATGCAATACAAAAGACATGCAGAATTTAGGAAGGAAGCATATTTTGATAACCTTTTACCGACCAATTTAAATTACTCCCTGGCGTCTTTTGAGGACATGGGACTCAGATCCTGTGGTGTAGCGTGCCTGGAGACTCTGCCTATATGTGCGGGATTCCTGTACAATAGAAGATCTAAGTCATGTAAGTTAATGAGACTGTATCTGGATAAACGGTTTCTGACTGTGCCGTTTGATGGCTGGAAGTTCTACTACGATACTAAAGGTAAAACTAAAAAATAATAATAAATACCGTGAAATCACAAATTTTTATTGAGGGTTAATTTTCGTTGTTTTTAAGGTATGTAGAGACGCACGGATTTATATCCACAATGAAATGAAAATTTTTATATGCAATACTACTAATAAAACATTTTCCAACCACGAGATCAATTCAAATCTCCACAAACCTCGAAAATTTGACCACACGAATAAAATGTGATTTTACAGTAAATAAAAAAATTTAAATGTTCTTTATTTGTATTTAGATCGTTCATGTTTTTACAAAGCCTAAAATCACTTTAAATCACTTAAAAGGTGTTCTCTCTTTGCTGTTAATCACAATGGCTGCAAAAATTTTGTTTGTATATAGTCTTTTATACATCACATAATTATGACAAAAATTTTACTAGACTGGATGTAAACATATGACATGTTGCTTCCATTGAGCATGACTTTGTTAAACGTTAACGTCATCTGTATTTCTTTTTGAAAGCTTGCGATCCTGGGTGGACACCATATAACGGCCATTGCTATCTACTTGGGAATTCACTGCTAACATGGACGACTTCTCAGGTAAATGAAGCCATGATAATTTATGCAGTCATCTTAGATTTTATTAAAAATTATCAAGTTTTATTATATCTAGGTACAATGTCAGGCTTATGGAGGATATGTTCTTGAAGTAGAGTCGGTCGAGGAAAATATGTGGATAACAGAAATCTTCCTACCTATACCAGATAGTGAGTACACCGCACAGTAAATACAATCTGAATTGATCACTCACTTTGAATTTGAAAATATAAAATATTTGCAAGTTACTAAATTAATTTGTAATTATAGAATAATCTTCCATTTATATGTTTCATTCTACTTTTTTCTGATCCACAGAGGTCGACCAAAAACATACTAGTAAAGGTATCAGATTTGCATATCGTAGCTAGCTAGTCGACATAGACTGTGAAGGTATCATGTATTTGCAGATGAATGCTCGGAATGGCGATTTTGCAATGTGTGGATTGGTGCCACTGATAGCGATATAGAGGGCACGTTTACCTGGATCAGAAACAAGGAGGAACTGACATACCTGCCTTGGGACGTCGGACAGCCGGACGATAAAAATGGACAGGACTGTATCCGACTTAATTCTTCTGGCAGATGGAAGGATGCTTCCTGTAAAGATAACAATCGCATGAATTATATTTGTGAGAAAAATTCAAGCTAATTAAAAAAAAAACATTGTAAAATCAAACATGAATTTTTATTGTAACTTTTAACTGAACTCTGTTGGTTTTTTCTCTCTGCAGTTGGATTTGCGTGTTTTATATCCATTGAAAACATGATATGTGCAAAAACAGATGTTTAAAGTATAAATCAGGGTTTATCATTAGAAAAAAGGATAGGTGTTACTACATGTAGCTGCAGATCTGTAGGTCCCTGGTCTAAAAAAATTGGATGGAAGACCTGAGAGCTAGAGTGCTACCATTGAAAAAAAGTGTTAGTTAATGCGTTTCTTCGAAATACAGGGTGATCATTACCGCTACATTTTATTAATAAGACAATGGGTGATTACAACTCAGTACCGCTACAATATTCGTATCTATCAACAAAGATATGGAAATATGAGTTTAGATTCAATATGATATGAGTCAGAAAAAAATGATATCGATAATTATATGAAAATGGTGAGATTTTCAGAGAGCAATGCATGTATACGTCAAGCAAATGGCCTTCAATGCTCTACCAAATCTGGGTGTTGTACATGTCTCGATTTTAAGACTTTCAAAAATGATTTTCTAAAATAAAATGAATTTTTAACAAAAAGGTGAAAACGTGAAAAGAAAAACAAATAGCGGAAAGATATGCACATATACAAACATTATATATTATTCTGTTACTTTTAACTAGATGTACTGTGAGCACTGAGCTCACTAAATGATACCTCTTCCTCCCATATAATTATAATTACGAAATCCATGTTTTGCTCCGGGAGACCCGATAAAAGTAGCAGATCAAAAAGTAAATTGGAGATGCACAATGGCAATATATAACAAAGATTGTGTGAAAGTTTCATTAAATTCCATTCAAAGGTATAAGAGGTGTTGCGGATAAGAAGTGGGTACCCCAAAGCGTAACAGATGGACGTACAGACGGATGGACATCCCGATCACAGTATACCCCCTTCTTTTCAAGCGGGGGATATAACAAGTCACAAAACATTGCAAAAGGTGAATCTTAAAGAAACCATTAAAAAGTAATCAAAAATGGCCCGAAGTAAAGTGTCTGTTAATTGGTCCAGTGGTCAATCAATTTACACTTCGGAGTTCCCATTCAAAAAGCCCCGTACAGGCAGTCTGTATTAATGTGGGAGTCAGTGCTCAGTAGCGTATAAAATGTAGTAATAGTATTATATCAGATCTTGCGTGGACAGAAAAGTAAAAAACGAAAACTAGAATCGTGTACATTAAACTCCGGATTTTATTTTTCCAGGAATCATGAAGTTCATGTACATGTATATTGTGTAAAAATACAGTCAATATCGTCAAAATGTTACCAAAGACAATGTTTGTCTGTGAACAAGCATGTGCTATCAAGCCCAAGGCATATATTTTTTATCAATAATTACGAAAATTCTGTGTAAGAGTTAATTTTATTTACAATACAAACGAACGCCTGTGATTCTTGCCGGAAACGTAGTACATACATTGCATTTTTGCGTTGGTTACTTCTTAAATAAATAGACTGTTAAGTTTTTTGAAAAATTAATCATTCAAGAATGTTCAAAACAACGTTTAAACATCAGTGGTTGAAAATTAATATATGTATTCATAACCACTGTTGTAAAATGTTGTGGTAATAGTAATTCAAAAACCCAAAACACTAAAACATTTCCAATTAATTTTCCTATATAATTTTTTTCGCATATGGGTTGGATACACGGGTCAAGCTGAATTCAAGCAGGCTTTTACCTACCCCTCCACTTTCAATGTAATAGGAAGAGAAGGATGAGAGTGGCAGAGAGAGTGTGGGAGAGAATGGAAGAATGAGAGACAAAGAGGTGAGAGAGAGAAAAACAGGGTGTGAAGGGGAGAGGATGGGATGAGAGAGTGACACATAGATGGTGAATAAGAGAGATTGAAAGGTTGAAGCGAGAGGTGGGAGAGGGAAATTTATCATATAGTTAATTCTGACATTATGTCTCAGCTATGGCCATGGGGTGTCTTTAAACATCTTAAAGCTGACATGAACTCTTAAAAAGGCATCATTTTTCATCTTTGTACGACTTACTACATTCCTGTAAGCCTTTGTCCGCCATATTTCTTCGATTCCGCCATATTTAATTGAAAATTTTTGGCCGCCTGTACCTGTTATATAAAGCCTGGTGCATTTGTTTCACTTGAGTGATTTTCTAGCCTGGCTGTCGACATACATGTACACATCTCCGATAGCATAGTTGTCATAAATCCATAAACTGACCAGATACATGTTTTAAAAGTGAACAAAAACTAGAACTTTACTATGAAGTAAATTATTTTTGAATGTATTTGCTGCAATTTAGAAAAAATAACACGGAAATGAGCAAAAGCCGTTTGGATATGCACGCATGCAAGTCGAGAATACGCATCGAACGCAATGATAAAGATATTTACCTGAATACTGCTATCGTTACAGGGATGTGCACATGTCGAAAGAAATATCCTATTTTTACTTTTATTGAAATATGCATCTCAGAATTCATGCAATCCATTGCTAACTGAACAGTAAAAAATTGTCACCACATAGCACTTGGACACACGTGGTCCACGACGATAGTCTATTTGGTCAGGGGAAATTTCAAAGGTGGAAAGTATTTTGGTTGACTGAAAAAGTGCAATTTTTTTCAAAAATAAATATTACTCTTGTCTGTATATGTAAATGTAAACAAAATTTTTAGACTTGGCTTAATTACATTAAATTTATTTTATAGCATGCAACATTACGAATCATTCATCCTTTGACGAGATTCTCCCGTGAAAGGGGGGGGGGGGGTAAAAATAATGCATAACGCTCTCTGAAAAGATCGGATTTTTTTTACGATCAAATATTTTCATTATAAATAATGTGTATTGGCTTTATTTATTTATTTTTTTTTAAATAAAGACCTTATATAACTTGATTTAAACTTATTTTCATAATTTTATACACAATAAACGAGTTTGATTCTATGGTACATGAATAATCAAAATTTTGCAGAATTCATTGGCGGATCCAGAGGTGGAGTGGGGTTCCAGGGATTGGAACACTCGGCCTTTATTTTTGTACACACATACACAGAGAGAGAGAGAGAGAGAAAGAGAGAGAGAGAGAGAGAATGTTTTTTTCTGTAATATAGAGTATAGATATTTATACGTCTAATAATATGAATAATTTGAAGAAATAAAAAAAATCTCTGTCCTTTCAGTTCTCTAGATCTGTAGATTTTCGCGGATTTGCTTTCCTCCGCGTACCTTCAATCATTTTTCAATCAACTATTTGAATCTCTTCACCATTTTACAACAGTATACAAAAATCACAAAAATATATAGGTAATTTTATACATAACAGTAGATCTATAAAGCATGCTTGAATAAGAAACTAAACAAAAAAATTGTACGTTGCTATAAATGTGAAGTATGGGAATTTAGGCGGGGCATATTTTATTTTTTTTTCTTTATAAACGAGCACAATTTTATCAGAAAACAGTGTTTATTGTTATTCATAATGTGTTTAAAATTAATCACATTCTGAAATTTTATGCTTTTTTTCTGTTAAGCATAGCATTCTTTCTGAAAGTAGCGAGCTGCACTTTAGTATGTAATGAAACTCACCTCTGAGTTCTTTTAAATTACAATGGGGACAAATTTCTATCTTGTCTTGGTAACCCTGTCTAATGGCTTCGACCACCCCCAAGTAACATGCAAGGAAGATTCCAGCGAACTTTTTTACCATTTTTGGACCATTTTCAGAAGTAACTAACTTTAAGAAGTATGCATGAAATATTTCGATTCGGTAAAGATAAAGGTTTAAAATGTTCCCGTAGTATGCAGATGGAGGGGGGGGGGGGGGGCTTTTTCTGAGGACAATCTTTGCCCCAGTTTTAAATAAATTAAAATTTTGATTTAGAAGCTCCCTCCACATTTTTTGTTTGCAGGAAAATACGCAGATTCAAGCATTCAAAAGTAATGTACTGAACAGAAAAGTTACAGGAAGCCTCCTTTATCCCCTACAAAAAAGGATTGTATAGAGTGTGATGCATAGGTTTTTTAGCTCACCTGAGCTGAAAGCTCAAGTGAGCTTTTCTGATCACCCGGTGCTCGTCCGTCCGTCTGTCTGTCCGTTTGTAAACTTTTCACATTTTCAACTTCTTCTCAAGAACCACTGGGCCAATTTTAACCAAACTTGGTACAAAGCATCCTTGGGGAAAGGGGAATATAAATTGTTAAAATCAAGGGCCAAGTTCCCTTCCAAGGGGAGATAATCAGGAAAATACAAAAATAGGGTAGGGTCATTTAAAAATCTTCTTCTCAAGAACCACTGGGCCAGGAAAGCTGAAACTTATGTGGGAGCATCCTTGGGTAGTGTAGATATTAAATTGTTAAAATCATGACCCCCGGGGGTAGGGCGGGGCCACAATAGGGAACCAATTTTTACATAGAAATATATAGAACAAATCTTTAAAAATCTTCTTCTCAAGAACCACTGGGCCAGGAAAGCTGAAACTTATATGGAAGCATACTTGGGTAGTGTAGATATTAAATTGTTAAAATCATGACCCCCGGGGTAGGGCGGGGCCACAATAAGGAATCCAAGTTTTACATAGAAATATATAGAACAAATCTTTCAAAAAGATCCGCATCACCCATGTTACTCAGGTGAGCGATGTGGCCCATGGGCCTCTTGTTTGTTTTGTTTAGTTTTTTTGTTTTTTGTTTTTTTTTTTTTTTTTTTTTTTTTTTTGCTTGTCAACTGATTTTGGAGGTCCCCCATCAATATAAATTGAAGTGGCTGTGGTGTGATTCTATGCATGAGTGCCATGCGCGGATCTAGAGGGGGTTAGCAAGGTTATTAAATTTATTTACTAAAGCAAGAAAAAAAGTTACGTAGGAACCCCCTCGGAAAACGCAGACTCCCTGGTAAACGCGAATTTGTGTTAAATTGGTATGAAAAGGCTAAGGTTTGAAGCATTAGAAGTCATCGGCTACCCCT